AGACCAGCCTGACCAACATGGAGAAACCCAGTCTCTACTAAAAATACAAAGAATTAGCTGGGTGTGGTGGTGCATGCTTGTAATTCCAGCTACTCGGGAGGCTGACGCAGGAGAATCATTTGAACCTGGAAGGAGGAGGCTGCAGTGAGCCGAGATCACACCATTGCACTCCCACCTGGGCAAAGAGAGCAAAACTCTGTCTCAAAAAAAAAAAACAAAACAAAACTATAGAAACAGACATAGATACAGAAAGCTAGAGAGAGACACGAGACAGAGATACAAAGATGGAGAGAGAGAAACAGAGAAGAATAGCATCAGAGAGATCGCAACACATTTAACTCAAGGAATTAGCTCACACGATCATGGCTGGCAAGTCTGAAATCCACAGGACAAGCCAGTTATGCTGGAGGCTCAGGTAAGAGGTGATACTGCGGTCTTAAAGGCTGGAAACTCAGGCAGAATTTCTAGGTCACAACCTTAAGGCAGAATTCCTTCTGCAGGAAACTTTGGTGTTTACTCCTCAGACCTTCTGCTGATCAGATGCGGCCCACTCACATTACCAAGGCTCATCTCCTGTACTGAAAGTCAGCTGTGGTTGTTGATGTGAATCCCATCTGAAAAATATCTTTCTAGCCAGGTGTTGTGGATCACACCTGTAATCCCCGCACTTAGGGAGGCAGAGTGGGGAGGATTGTCTGAGCCCAGGAGTTTGAGACCTGCCTGGGCAATATAGTGAGACCCTGTGGGAAGTAGAAAAGGTCCTTTTTTAAGTTTCCTTTCTTGCTAAAGAATAAGCGTGCTAATAATTTTGTTAAGCCCTGTCCTCTGTAGCTATTAGACATGCCATGCTTACAGGCACTTAGTACATTCTATGTCCTTGTACTTTAACCAAGATGTCTGTGCTGGATGTGCTCACAGGCATGTCCCAGCTCTCCATTGCTTTTACCTGTTTAGAAAAGTTTTAATTATTAGCCAATCGGGTTTTAGTTTAGATTGTGAGGTCTAGCTTCAGCCAATGGGGATCAGACACAGCAGTAAGGACAACCCCAGGTGCATAAGGGATAAATTTGTCTGCTTTTCCTTTGTTCATTGTACTCTCGTGCCATGATGGCTAGGGAGGGTACACTTCCTGCAGTCCAGGAAGTAAAAATTGTGTTGCTGAAAGATCCTTTGTTTCAGTGCTAATTTTTCTTTGTGGCACCGAGCATCTATTTCCAACAGACCCCATTCTCAACAAAAAGGAAAGAAAAAAATGACAAAAAATAAAGAAATATAACATACATTTCTAGCAACATTTAGACTAGTGTTTTACAGACAACTGGTCACCTCGCCTAGCTATGTTATCCCATACATTAGCTCTCATGCCACTCAAGCTAAGTGATCTTCTTAACTGCTGGACCTACTGCGTGGGTGAACGTTTCTTTCTGGACATCCTCACTGTCCAAAATCCATTCCACAATGCCTTCCTTTCTAGGGGACAGTGGGGAGGATGGAGTCTTGCTCTGTGGCCAGTCTGGAGTGCAGTGGTGCCATCTCAGCTCACTGAAACCTTTGCCTCCTGGGTCCAAGTGATTCCCCTGCCTCAGCTTCCCAAGTAGCTGGGATTACAGGTGCCTGCCACCATGCCCAGCTAATTTTTTGTATTTTTGGTAGAGACGAGGTTTTGCCATGTTGGCCAGTCTGGTCTCGAACTCCTGACCTCAAGTGATCCACCCGCCTCAGCCTCCCAAAGTGCTGAGCTTACAAGCATGAGCCACCGCACCTGGCCCCATACTGTCTTCAAGTGTTCTTTCCTGCTCCCCCTTTTAGAATGTAAGAATTATAAGACCCTATCTGCACCATTCGCAGCCTCAGGTGATACGTTTTAGCTCAAAATAAAAGCAAACACAAAACTCATATGTTGAAGAAATGAATCAAATGGATCCCAGACAGGAGAAAGGGGGAGTGAAGTCTGGGCGCAGTGGCTCATGCCTGTAATCCCAGCACTTTGGGAGGCAGGGGCAAGTGGATCACTTGAGGTCAGGAGTTCGAGATCAGCCCCTGGCCAACATGGTAAAACCCTGTCTCTACTAAAGATACAAAAAATTTAACTGGGCATGGTGGCACACGCCTGTAATCTCAGCTACTTGGGAGGCTGAGGCAGGAGAATTGCTTGAACCTGGGAGGCGGAGGTTGCAGTGAGCCGAGATCACACCACTGCATGCTAGCCTGGGGGACAGAACAAGTCTCTGTCTCAAAAACAAACAACAACAACAACAAAACAAAGAAAAAAGAAAAAAAAAGAATGGAGGAATGAAAAAGAAAAGAAATGAGAAGAAGGATGTGAAGTAGAGTGGCAGGCTTGGCAGATGTCGGCTGGGTTACCCAGTACCCAGTGAGTTATGAGGCTTTGGCATTTGGGAGCTGGATGGAGCAGAGTGGGTGTGCATCCATTTCCCCTGTACCCTTGGAGTTGGTGGGTGGAGGGGGGTCTTAGGGAAAAGAGGCTGTGCAGGGGTGACTTTCAGGCTCAGTGGGGGTTTCGTGATGACTTGGTGCAGAGCTGGGAGGCTGCATCCCACCCTCCATACACACACCCTCCCAGTCTCCAAGGGACAAGAGGTGCAGCAAGAGGAGGTGCTTGGGGCTCCAGTTCCCCTCAGCAAATGTGTCCCCACTCCCCACACCCAAGGCTGCGGCTCCCCACACAGTGCTGGTGATGCTGTGACCACAAAGCCCCACACTCCCTCCCTGCCTGCTGACTCACGTCTTCCCTTCCCTGGAGCTCCAGCCGGAAATGCTGCCCTGGTGGCCAGCCCCCACCCCCGCCACTGTCCCCTCTCGTGTACAGTTACCAGACACAGCTCAACCTGATGCATTGACTCCTCGCTCAGGCCCATCTAGAAACGGGGTCTGGGAGAGTGAGGTGAGGCTGGAGGAGGGAGGTGGGATGCGAAGGGGGACAGGTGGGGATGCAGGTGGGAGGGCAGAGCAGGACTGCAGGTTGATGGTGTTGGTGAAGCTACAGGGATAGATGCAGAAGGAGGGGCAGGTAACGAATTTTTGCAAAATCATAACTGAGGAAATTATGACAGTGAAAGAAATCAGACCTAATTGACTCCATCTTGCTTCTAACCTTTTTTTTTTTTTCAAATTATTATTATTTTTTGAGACAAAGTCTCGCTCTGTCACCCAGACTGGAGTGCAGTGGCACGATCTTGGCTCCCTCCAACAACCGCCTCCTGGGTTCAAGCCATTCTCCTGCCTCAGCCTCCCGAGTAGCTGGGACTACAGGAGCCCACCAACACGCCCGGCTAATTTTTGTATTTTTTTAGTAGAGATGGGATTTCACCATATTGGTCAGGCTGGTCTCAAACTCCTGACCTTGTGATCCACCTGCCTTGGCCTCCCAAAGAGTTGGGATTACAGGCATGAGCCACTGCATCTGGCCCACCAAACTATCTTTAAAAACTCTGATCCCCAAATGCTTGGGGAGACTGATTTGAGTAATAAGAAAACTCTGGCCTCCCGCACAGCCAGCTCTGCGTGAATTGCCCTTTCTCCGTTGCAATCCCCCTGTTTGATAAATCGGCTCTGTCTAGGCAGTGGACAAAGCGAACCCACTGGGTGGTTACGGCAAGAAGACAGATAAATCTACAGGTGAGAATGCTGGCAAGAACACAAGAAAATATCTAGAAAAGCATGCAGGTAAAGATGCAGGTGAAGACTCAGATGAGGACGCAGAGAAAATACAGTTGCTGAAGAGGATGCAGTTGCAAAGAAATAGGTGAGAATATAGGTAAGAATGTTGTGAAGGTAAAGATACAGGTAGGCTTACAGACAGAGATGTAGGTGTTGGGGCCAGGTGAGGAAGCCAAAAACAGAAACGAAAAAACCCTGGCCGGGCACGATGGCTCACGCCTGTAATCCTAGCACTTTTGGAGGCCAAGGTGGGAGGATCACCTGAGATCAGGAGTTCGAGACCAGGCTGGCTGACATGGTGAAACACCATCTCTAATAAAAATACAAAAATTAGCCAGGCATGGTGACACGTGACTGTAATCTCAGGTACTTGGGAGGCTGAGGCAGGAAAATCAATTGAACCCAGGTGGCAGAGGTTGCAATGAGCCAAGATTATGCCATTGCATTCCAGCCTGGGCGACAAGAACGAAACTTCGCCTGAAAAAACCCACAAAATCAAAACAACAAAACCAACAACAGCATAAACCCATACGTGGATAGAGCTGAGGGTGCAGATGAGCGAACCGGTAAAGATTCAGATGAAAATATCGGTAAGATTGGGAGCAGGGAGAACATTAGGAAAAAAATGAGTGAATGCATCCTGGGCTTATACCTAGGTGATGGGGGGGCTGGGTGTGGTGGCTCACACCTGTAAGCCAACCACTTTGGGAGGCCAAGGTGGGCAGATCACTTGAGATCAGGAGTTCGAGACCAGCCTGGCCAACATGGTGAAATCCATTCTCTACTAAATATACAAAAATTAGCTGGGCAAGGTGGCAGGCAACTGTAATCCCAGTTACTTAGTAGGCTGAGGCAGGAGAATCACTTGAACCCGGGAGGCGGAGGTTGCAGTGAGCCAAGATCACGGCACTGCACTCCAGCCTGGGCGACAGAGCGAGACTCCATTCCCACCCCACCAAAAAAAGAAGACAGTGTGGAATGGATTTTGAAAAAAAAAGAAAAGAAAGGAAAAGAAAATATTGGTAAAATTAACAGGTGAGGATACAGGTAAGCAAAGAGGTGAGAACTCAGGCGAAGGGGCTGTGAGCTACCGGTGAGTGTACAGGTGAGTATGCAGGCAAAATGGAGGTGAGATGCAGGTTCACTTCATGCTACCTGCAGGACAGGCAGGTCCATGCTTCTTGGATAAAGAAGTCAGCACACTCGCAGGTGAACGCCAGGAGAGAATGCAGTGGGAACAGGTGAGGTTTCAAGTAGGATGGAGCTGAGCTGCAGGTGGATTGCAGCCTCTTGCTCTCTGGCAAAGAACTCCAGACGCGTGAAATATAACAAGCTTTATTGGGAGTGGGGGAATGGGGGTGTGGTCAGTTGGGGCACCCATAGACAACCATGTTCTCCGTGAAGGAGCCCAGTTCCTGGCATTGTTTCTGGTTCTCTTCGTCTTGGCATTCGTCGTCCTCCGGCCAGTGCTCCACCCAAGTGTCCTTCCCGATGATATAGCTGAGGCTGGAGGGGAGGAATAGCAGGTCAGGAAGGGGCGTGGTGTGGGCGGGGCATAGGGCGGGGGCAAATGGTGTGGGCGTGGCATGGGCGTGGTGGTTGCGCCTGCGTGCGCAGGACAGCACTCACTTGGGTTTCTCTCCCCAGAAGTCGGAGGAGAGGCCCCACATGAGGTAGAGTTTCCCTTTCTCCAGGTTCAGGGCTTCTCTGCACTTGATGGGGCTGATGAATGTGCGCTGCTGTCCAACCTGCACCTCATCCGTGCCTGGAGTGGTGGGCAGAGGGAAGAAGCTGAGCCATGGGCAGGAAGTCAGGGAGCCCCCCCACCCCCGGGCAGCGTGCTGAGGCTGACCTGACTTGATGATCTGCTCAATGGCCATGATGTACTCGTCAAAGTCATTGGACAGCTGGATCTTGACCAGTCGGGTCTTGTACACTGTGGGGGACAGGTGGACAGTGTGGGTCGTGGTCTAGGTTGACCATGAGGGGCACTCTGGTTTGCAAGTGCACCGGGGCATGTGGCTCTCTCCCCCAAGCAGAAAGTTGGAGAATCACAGCCAGTCACACTATGGCACACCCCTCATTACACACACAAGCATAGAGGGTCACGTGCATGCACACAGGCCCAGCCACCTATAAAGTGTAGTAATGTACTATGTACACGAGGCAATGACAGCTACTCATATGCACACAACACTACAGCCTCATGGCCATGAGCATAACCAGCCACAATCACAGCACACAAAGCCACAACCACTGCGGTCATACACGCAACTTCAGGTGTCCACAACCACAGCCTCACATAACCATGGCCACACACAACTACAACCTCACAGCCACACTGCACACAACCACACTCACCTTTTCTCACATACGCATACTCCTAGTCACGGTTCCCCACACAGTAACGGCCCCTCACAACACATGCACACACACACACCACAGTCACCCACAGCCACAGCCTGAAGCCACACCATGACAACCATACCTACTACCCACCATACAGGTAGACACACACAGCCACATGAGTGACCCCCACCCCCCCACTCACCATAGTCCACTCCTGGCTCGCAGGCCTTGTCCAGCCTTTCCTCCTGGGTGACCTTGTCTCCTGACTTTTGCATGAAGCAATTCTCTGTAGGGTGGGGGCGGAGAAAGGGTCTAAGTCCCACTCCTCATCTGGGCCTACTGCCCATGGGTGTGGCCAGCTCTGGGAGCCTACCCCTCTTGGTATCTCCCCTGGATATGGCCCCTGGAGGGGGGTCCCTGGCCATGGGATGGACGACCTAGGGAAGTGTGGCTTGCTCAGGCCCACCTGTTCCTGGCTCCAGGGAACTCACCCTCAGCACAGCGGCACAGTTCATCCCGGCAGAGCTTGTCCAGCTTTCCATCCTCCTTTTCTGGGTGGTAGAACCGTGTACAGCTTTCCTCTGCAGGTGGACGTGACGCGGAGGAGATCAGGGGATAAGGGCCTCCCTCCCAAGACCACGCCTGGGAGGTCCAGATCCCCAGTTCTCAGTCTACAGATCTGGAGATGCCAGGTCTTCAAACCCTCAGCTCCCTTGGACCCCCAGACCCCCTCTACTTTCTGATCTTTGGGATTCTCAGACCCAGCTCACAGACACCTGGGACCCTCAGACCCCAAATTCATACATTCCTGGGACACTCAGATCTCCCACCGTCATATCCCTGGAATCTTTAGACCCTTATTTTCAGACTGCCTCCCCAACTCACATATACCCAGGTCCCTGAGACTCCTGGATCCATCAGACCCCCAACTCTCAGATCCCTAGAACCAACTCATAGATCCTTGTGACCCTCAGACCCCTGGGACCTTCAGACAATGAATCCTGAAATCCCTGGACTCCTTAGAACTTCATTCTCAGATCCCCTCAGAACCTCAACTCATAGATCCTTGGGACCTTCAAACTCGTGGGACCTTCAGACTACTAATCCTCAAATTCCTGGACTCCTTAGAGCTTCATTCTCAGATCCCCACAACTCATATATACCTGGGACTCTCCAGCCCCCGGAACCATTAGACCCCAGGCCCTAGGTTGGCTGCTCACCCAGGTTGTAATAGGCGTAAACCTTGACCGCACCAGGCTGGATAAGCTCTATGTTAAAATACTGGTGAACTTTGAAAGACAGACAGTCTTCCTCGGAGTGTGAGACCTGAGGGGGAGGAGGGGCTTGGTCAGTGGGGTGATGTAGGAGGGATTAGGTCCCGCGAGCTGGGGCAGTGATGGAGAAATTGAATGAGTCGAGGAGGAAGTGGTGAAGATAAATGAGCAATTCACCAAATCCATTTACTTTTCTTCCTAGGCTCACAGCTAGACTACATTTCTCAGCTCCTCTTCCAATTAGGTGTGGCCAGGTGGCTGAACTCTGGCCAATGAATTGCTATCTATGACCATAAAAACAACCCATGCACAATCTTCTTTTCATCTATAGTGAACAAATCCTACAGAGAACTACAAAAGATCCTAAGGATTGCAGAGCCCCAGGATGGAAGGTGCTTCGATCCCTGAGTGACTACATGGAGCATAGGGACCCCTCCTTACCTCCCATGCCAACTGGACTTTACATGAGTGAGAAATACAAGTCTGTTGTGTTAAGATCCCATATTCTTAGGGGTTTTGTTTTAGTAGCTAGTGTTACTTAAACTGACTAAAATGGGATTGAGGGGCCCTGTGGGTATCAGGAGTTAGCAGGGAGGATAGGGGATAGGAGAATGGGAAGAAATAGAGAAGGGAGAGGGGAAAGCCCCAATCCTGGTAGAGATAAAAGAGTAAGAGAATACCAGATGGACAGAAAATAACAGAAGAGAGGGCAGGTGTGGTGGCTCATGCCTGGAATCCCAGCCCTTTAGGAGGCTGAGGCAGGAGGATTGCTTGAGGCCAGTAGTTTGAAACCAACTTGAGCAACATATCAAGACCCCCATCTCTACAAAAAATAAAACAATCAGCTGGATACTTACACAGAATATTTATGAAGAAACAAGAACAAAAATTTAGCTGGGGCCAGGCACCGGGGGCTCATGCCTGTAATCCCAGTACTTCAAGAGGCTGAGGTGGGAGGATCACTTGAGCTTGGGAGGTTAAAACCAGCCTGGGCATTATAGTGGGTCCCCATAGCTACAAACTTTTCTTTTTTTAAATTCACTGGGCATGGTTGCATGCACCTGTAACTCCAGCTACTCAGGAGGCAGAGGTGAGAGGATTATGTAGCCTGGGAGATCAAGGCTGCAGTGAAGAAAAAAAAAAAAAAAAAAGGCTGGGTAAAAAAGCATAATATTTATGAAAAAATAAACAAACAAAAAATTAGCTGGGTGCAGTGTTGTAGGCCTGTAGTCCCAGCTACTCAGGAGGCTGAGGCAGGAGGATCCCTTGAGCCAGAAATTTGACTTTGCAGTGAGCTAGTATCAAGACACTGCTCTCCAGCCTGGGTGATACAGCGAGACCCTGTCTCTTGAAAGAAAGAAAACAACAGAAGAGAGAAATAGATGCACAGAAAGAAACAACGCTCAGGATTGGGCTAGGGAACAAGGCGAGAGCTTTCTCTCTACAAAGCACTTAAAAAAAACCCAAAGGGGCTGTTTTTCAATGGTTTAACATGCCGATAAGAAGCCGAAGGAGCCAAATGGTCAGAAGATGAGATGCTTATAGAAGATACTGGGTTGACCCCCCTTATTTTACAAGCTCCTTCCCCTATCACCCAGCAGCACAGACCCTGTCTCCTCTAGCCTAGGGCTAGCCTGACCCAGAGACAAAAGCTGAAGAGAAAAGAAATGACCAGCCAGATAGAGGTCAAGGTGCCCATGGAAGCCTCCCAGGGGAGGATGATGCAGCCTTACCTTTTCCAGGTAGATGATGAGGGTGTTCCTATCGGAGAAGGCTTTGTCCAGCTCATACTTGGAGATGTATCTGTCAACGCCACTGGCCAGCTGGGGAAAGGTAAAGACTGTGAAAAATCCTTCCTGGACCCTTCTCTGCCTGCAGCCTCTTCCAGACAGACCCCAGGCTCCTTTCCACTTATCCCAGCTTCTGAGCCCTTCATACCTTCTTGAGGTCTTCTGTGTCTGGAGCGAAGCCAGTCATCATGGATATGTCCAGTATAGACATAGTGGCATCCTGGTCTCCCAGGTACCTGGATAGTGCAGAAAGAAGGATATTGGGTCCCAAGGTGGGGTCAGCCCCAAGGGTCTGGTCAGGCACTGAGACTTGCAATTCCCACGTAGCAGCACAGAGGGGCGTTACATTTTTTAGGAAACATTTCCCCAAAGGAAATAAAAGACATGGTAGTGTAACAGTCAAGGTGATTGATTAAGAGCTCAGACTCTGGACCCAACTGCATGGATTCAAATTCCAGCTCTAAATAACATTGGTTGCATTATTTGACCCCCTCCATGCATCAGTTCTAGAAAACAAAGGCAAGAATACAGACAACCCGCACTTGGCATGAATCAGTTAAATCACACTAGTACCCCAGTGACATGGTTCCCATTTCGGCATCTTGGTATATTGATCATGAGTAGCTGCATGAGGTATAGACTTTGCTGCTAACTCTTCAGTCTAGAAATCACTACATAAATAACAGATGAACATCATAATTGAGGGCCAGTTACTGTCACTCCCTTTGAAGTCCATCAGTGATTGGTCACTGAGCTTCTGCTATTCAATTTATGCACAGACAGCAAAGTGTGTAGTTATGTTGCCTCCCTGTCTCCAGGGGGCAAACTCCCATGAGATTTTACAACAATGTATCACCAAAAGAGGGAACTGGCCAACAAAGATACAAATGCAGTAAAGAAATGAAAAGCGATAATGCCAGAAGGGAACTTCAAAGAAGGCATGAATGGAGTTACAGAAGACTAGTAGACCTTGGGGATGTTGATAAGTGGCTAGAGCAACTCAGTGAAGGCAAATGTATTAGCACAAATGAGGAAGGTCCTGGGGACAAAAAGGATGAAGATGTCCGAGAAGAAGGGACATTATAGAATAAAAAGTCACTTTAAAGGAACTCTTGGAGGAATTTCATGATACGGAAAGCTCAAAGGATAACATATTGGAAGCTGATCCAAACTTAGAAAGGGGCAAGACAACGTATTAAGGCATAGAAAAGATATTTACTCCATGTTGTGAATTACACAAAGAGAAGAAGGCAAGCATTTTTTTAATGCCTTTTTTTCTGAAGCACTGTCCATAAGTGTTTTACAAAGGAAAAACAAAAACAAAAACATCTTGCATCTCAATGTTCTAGTGTTTTAAATTACAGTGTGGTCAAATACTCATCTTACTATATCTTTCATTTCCCGTCATCTTTATAACTAGCAGTATGAGAATTTAAAATGTTGTAATAGAAACATTTAGGCTAGGCATGGTGGCTCATGCCTGTAATCCCAAAACTTTGTGAGGCCAAGGTAGAGGATTGCTCAAGGCCAGGAGTTCGAGACCAGCCTGGGCAACACAGTGGCCCCTACATCTAGAAGGAATAAAAAATAAAAATTAGCTAGGTGTTACGGCACACCCCTGTAGTCCCAGCTACTTCAGTGGCTGAGGCGAGAGGATCGCTTGAGCCAGGGAGTTTGAGGTTGCAGTGAGCTATGATTATGCCACTGCACACCAGCCTGGCTGGCAGAGCAAGACCCTATCTCTCTTAAAAGAAAAAAAGAAACATTTAAAGGTCATGGAATGATTGTGTACTTTTCTCCACTGATCGCTAAGATCACCTGGACAGTCTCAACGTCCATGGTCATTGCTGTGGTCTCACCCTGACATGCAAAGCAAGGACGGTCTGTGTTCTCTACCTCATGGCGGATACTTAGAACAGTACCAGATACACAGTGTACTTGGAAATTATTGAATATCATGGATATTCTTCGCAAGAAGTCTTGCTAGAGATAGAGGGATGGCCAAGATGAACCCCAGGCATCTAGCTTCTTACCTGGTACAGATATTAAGGACCATACTGTTCTTGGCATCCTGAGGCCTCTTTTCTAGAAACACAGAAGAGAGAAAGATGGGAGAGGGTATACCTGGGTGTTGATTCCGGAGGGGCGAAGACATTAGAAGAGGGGTAGGAGGAAGGTGGCAGATAAGGCCTCGATTCCTTTTACCTGTTTCCGGCGCTGGTGTTATGGTGACCCTGAGGTCGAATTTATTACAGGTGAGTTGACCTTTGACCTTAGCATGGTACATTGTCACCACCTGGTAAGATGGGAGAGGAGACAAAATGTCAGCCCACAGGACTAGGACTGCTGAAGACAAGAAGAGAGGGTCCCGCTGGGACAGAGGGGCATGAGCCGGGCCAGTGTGGGTTTCTGTTTTCCTGTTCCTTACCGACAAGGTACCTTGGCCTTTTCCTTCAGCTGTGACAGTGAAACCCTCATTTTCCTTGGTCTGCAGAGTGAGGAGAGATAAGACAGCATGTTGGGAATTAAGCCTTCTGCTGCCTGTGATGGTCACCTGCCCTCCCTCTTGCTTCACAGTAAACCCTGGCTGGTGGAGAGGGTGACAGCAAGAGTGAGGAGGGCTTGGCTGGGTGACTGTACCTCTTCTGATCGCAGGAGGCTGGCTGATTCCCAATGGATACGGTGAGTGATCTTGGAGCTGCGGCTTGGCAGTTGGAGGGACACATCCAGGTTCAGTTCCTTGTGGTCAGGGACGTCCTTTTGGTATTGGGCCAAGGCTTGGAACACCATGAAGGTGGCCTAGAACCCACGAGAGAGAAGGATGGTGAGCTGGGAACTTTGGAAAGTGGCTAGAATCCAATGGGGGATAAAGGGGTTCAATTCAGAGCTGGGATATCAAATCGTGACCCAGAACCCATTAGAGAGTTCAGGAGTAATACTGGAGTTCATCGGACACTGAGAACATGTTCTAGAACCCTCCGTCAGACAGAAATTTACACCAGGACTTGCAGATGCTGAGAACATGTCTAGAATCCACCAGAAAGTCTAGATATAAGATTAAGGGTCTAGTGACCCTGAGGATGTGGTCTAGATCCATCCAGAGGAGAGAGTCTTACACCAGGACTCGGAGACACTGAGAATATGTCTAGAACCCACTTATAAAAAAAAACAGAATAAAACTGTAGCCAGAAGACACTGAGCATATAGTCTAGAACCCAAAAGTGATACTGTAACGCTGAGAACACAATTGACAGACCACTAGAAAGAAAGGTCAGCTGGAGGCCGATGATGCTGAAGCCTCAAGCTACTGAAATCATGGTCTAGAAGAGGGTTTGGATAATGCCCTAGGGTAACTGAGAACATTGTATGGAGCCCGCCAGTGACAGTGTGACATTGATTGAGAGCCTGGGAGAACTGGGAACCTGGTCTAGAACCCACCAGCGAGGCAGGGTAAGATGGTGAGCCTATTGGAACTGGGAACATGGTCTAGAATCCACCAGGTGGAGAGAGAGGCTTAGACCTCAACCTGGGCCCTAAGAACATGATCTAGACACCTGGGGCAAGAAGAAGGCTCAACACACAGCTTGGAGTATGTAGATCGTATTCTAGAATCTATAGATGGGTTTGCAACTAAGAAAAACTGATTCTCCACTCCACTCCCATCACACTGGCTTGTGGGAAAGAAGAATTGCCTCCGTGGGCCTCAGTGTCTTCTCTAGGAGGCCCCTGGAAGCCACAGGAGGCAGATATGCATGTTCCTGGGGTGGGGGGACCACTTGCCTGGGTAGAGCCATAGCCACCACCGTAGTATCTCTGCTCATTGAGCCAACGCACGACGGGAGGCACAGAGTCAAAGTCTTTTAGATGCAGGAGGGCCAAGAGGGCATAGGATGTGGCCTCCACATTGTAGAGCTGCTGACCAGGCTCCTCCCAGCGGTTCTTATCTGCAAAGAGGATACCCCAACCCAGTGCTAACTGCTCTGTCCAGCCTGGGGATGGCTCAGACAAAGCTCAGAAAAAGACGCATGCTACACGTCTTGGTGTCCAGGTGTCCCGGCTGACGTTTGAGGCTCTCAGTTCATTGGCTCCTGCCTTGCCCTCGTTTCATCCACTCTCACTTCTCCCTTTGAAATGGATGCTTAACACGCATTTGCTGAATGAATCGTGTGACAAACCTTCTTGTGTGGTTGACGGTGAGCACCTGGTAAACCTTACAGCCACGCATCCCTGCTCAGCTCAGGGTCATGTGTCCCAGCTTAAGAGCCTAGGACTGTCCATCCATTGGCTTAGGGTCATCCATCCCAGCTCAGCTAAAAGCCATGCATCCCAGCTCAGTATTTCCTGCCCTAAACTCCAGCCTTCGCCCCTCCAGGCCATCCCTCACCTTTGGCCGTGCTCAGAAATTTGTTGAGAAGAGGCCCCTTCAGTTTGTCCAATTGGGCCAGGGCATAGCCAGCGATGGCCACCGTGTAGGATCTCTGTAGGTTCATGTAGTTGACTTCAAGGAAGTTTCCTGCGTCAGTGATGCTGCCTGGCAGGCTCTGTGAGAAAGAGGATCAGATTCTCTGGTCACATGGGCATTGCTGTCTCATTAGTAAGGCTCATACAAGCAGCACTTCCTGAGCATCAGGGACTTCTGCCCTTGGGATATATCGGTCTTAGATTTGTCCATTTTTTAGGATTTCCCAGACATTTTAGGCATGAGCTGCCTTGTCGCTGAATACCTATTATGTATCTGGAGAAGTCCACATACCCCGTGGTGTGCTGGTAAATGTTTAACAACCAGCTCTCCAGTGGGAGGGTTGAGGGATCCTTGGTTTATAACGATTGACAATTGCTGTGGTGTAAATGCTCCCACTGGGGCCAATTTCATGCTGTTGATGTGACGTTGCTGGACAAAGTGTGGGGAGAGATTCTCCAAATGGCTACTCATAAACTAGAATGGATCAGATTCAGTGCGCCACCGTGGCTGTGCTGTGTCAGGTGCGGTAGGGTAGGGTGGGAAGGTGGAGGGTACTTACGTTGACAAGCTCCTCGCAAATATCTTTAGCCTCCTGCAGCGAGATGAGAACGAAGGCCGTGAGGGCCATGTCTTTCTCCTGAGTGTTCCGGAAGCCACCCTGGAATGGGGAGCAGAAGGAAGCAAGGCTGGGGTCACAGGTGTGTCCATACATACCAGTCATCCCTCCTGCAGAATCAGGGGTACTGGGCAGGGCTGAGGCTCTTTTCGTGTCACCCTGCGCCCAGGTAGGTCAAGCTTCTTAGTATTAATTCATGCAATCATTTCTTCCTTCCGCAAATATCAATGGAGGGCTTCTGTGCTGGCACCATGGGTACAATGGTTGACCTGTTGTAAAACCAGACATGGGCTCTAGCCCTCACGGAGCTCTTGTCTAGTAGGGAAGATGGATATGGTCCACCCAGCTCAAGAGATACTTGTTTTTGTTTGTTTGTTTGTTTGTTTTTGAGACAGAGTTTCACTCTTGTTGCCCAGGCTGGAGTGCAGTGGCACAATCTCGGCTCCCTGCAACCTCCGCCTCCTGGGTTCAAGCAATTCTCCTGCCTCAGCCTCCTGAGTAGCTGAGATTATGGGCATGTGCCACCATGCCTGGCTAATTTTTGTATTTAATAGAGATGGGGTTTCCCATGTTGGTGAGGCTGGTCTCGAACTCCTGACCTCAGGTGATCCACCCGCCTCAGCCTCTCTCAGTGCTGGGATTAGAGGCGTGAGCCACCACACCCAGCCAAGAGATATATACCTATAAGTGGATGAGTTCTGTGCAGGGGAGGAGTACACAGCAGTGACAATGAACTGTGGGAGTGTGACCCAGTTTGGGAGGTCAGGAAAAGTGTCCCCGAGGGAGTCAACTCTCACAGAGGGCAGGGATTAGCATACTAGGTGGCATAAACAGCATGTGCAAAGGCCCTGTGGCACAATAGAGCAAGGCTCCTATCGATGGATGGAGCCTGGAAAGAGAAGAAAGGCTGGAAGTCTGGAAGCCTGAAAGTCAGACTGAAGCAGTGATTCTCCATCTCAAGCACACATTATCATCACCTAAGGGAATGGGGGTACTTTAAAAAACTCAGATTCCAGGCCGGGCGCGGTGGCTCAAGCCTGTAATCCCAGCACTGTGGGAGGCCGAGGCGGGTGGATCACGAGGTCAAGAGATCGAGACCATCCTGGTCAACATGGTGAAACCCCGCCTCTACTAAAAATACAAAAAATTAGCTGGGCATGGTGGCGCATGCCTGTAATCCCAGCGACTCAGGAGGCTGGGGCAGGAGAATTGCCTGAACCCGGGAGGCGGAGGTTGCGGTGAGCCGAGATCGCGCCATTGCACTCCAGCCTGGGTAACAAGAGCGAAACTCCGTCTCAAAAAAAAAAAAAAAAAAAAAAAAAAACTCAGATTCCTAGGCAGGGTGTGGTGGCCCACGCCTGTAATCCCAGCACTTTGGGAGGCTGAGACGGGTGGATCACCTGAGGTCAGGAGTTTGAGAGCAGCCTGGTCAACATGGTGAAACCCCGTCCCTACTAAAAATACAAAAATTAGCTGGGTGTGATGGTGGGCGCCTGTAATCCCAGCTACTTGGGAGCTTGAGGCAGGAGAATTGCTTGAACCCAGGAGGTGGAGGTTGCAGTAAGCTGAGATTGTGCCATTGCACTCCAGCCTGGGTAACGAGCAAAGCTCCATCTCAAAACACACAGACACACACACACACCCCTCAGGCAGGGTGTCACACCTGTAATCCCAGCACTTTCGAAGGCCTCAGGTGGATCACCTGAGGTCAGGAGTTTGAGACCAGCCTGACCAACATGAAGAAACCCCATCTACAAAAACACAAAATTAGCCGGGAGTGGTGGTGCATGCCTGTAATCTCAGCTACTAGGGAGGCTGAGGCAGGAGAATTGCATGAACTGGGGAGGCAGAGGTTGCAGTGAGCTGAGATCATACCACTGCACTCCAGTCTGGGCCACAATAGCAAAACTTCATCTCAAAAAAAAAAAAAAAAAAAAGAAAGAAAACCCTCAGATTCCTGGGTCCTGCCCGCAGATTCAGTGAGTCTGGGGTCCGGTCTCAGTATATGTTTTGTTTTTGAGATAGGGTCTCACTCTGTTGCCAGCCTGAAGTGCAGTGGCACCATTATGGCTCACTGCAGCCTCGACCTCCTGGGCTCAAACCATTCTCCTGCCTTGGCCTCCCAAACTGCTGGAATGACAGGCATGGACCATGGAGCCTAGGCACAGAATGTGCATTTCTAGTAAGTTCATGGGTGCTGCTGCTGCTGCTGCTGCTGGTCTGAGAGTCACACTTTGAGAACCACTGCTGGAAGGAATTTTGTGTTTATGAGCCATAGGGGAGCCACGGGACTTTCTAAGGACTGATCCAATTGGATTTGAAAAAATCACCCCAGCTGCTATGTGGTGAGTGTCTGAGAGCCAATCAGAGTGGGAGGCCACCAGGATGATGGCCAGGAGGTGGCTTCTACAGGGTCTCCTAACAAGGAGGGGAGGGGGAAGTATTGCTTGGTCCAGGGGCTGGTCATGAGGAGGGAGAGAAGGGGATGATTCTTGCAACATCATGGGAGAATGTGGGTATTGATGGATTGAATGTGAGAAGGGGACTCCCAGGCAGGACCCCTGCACTTAGTTTAATGAAATTCACCCCCCTTTTTTTTTGAGACAGAGTCTTGCTCTGTTGCCCAGGCTGGAGTGCAGTGGCATGATCTTGGCTCACTGCAACCTCTGCCTCCCGAGTTCAAGAGATTCTTCTGCCTCAGCCTCCCAAGCAGCTGTGACTACAGGCCTGTGCCACCACGCCCCGCTAATTTTGTACTTTTAGTAGAGACACGGTTTCACCATGTTAGCCAGGCTGGTCTCGAACTCCCGACCTCGTGATCCGCTCACCTCAGCCTCCCAAAGTGCTGGGATTACAGGCCTCAGCCACCACGCCCGGTCATAATGAAATTCTTCATAATTTCTGAACGAGAGGCCGTGTATCTTCATTTTGCACTGGGCTCCACGGGTGTCTGGGTTTTGCAATGCTGGAGTGACACCTCTGGCTCATTTATCTCTCAGTCCCCGCCCCCACCCCAATCTCTGTAAAGGGAATTGGGCAGTGGGCACATGGAAATGGGGGTCTCTCTTGTGTTCATCCTATGAGGCTCATTTCCATTTTGCCCTACATCCCAGTGTCTTACAATCATTTCTTGGTGTATCACGGGCCCATCCTCCTGGAAGACCCCGTCAGGCTTCTGTTTCTCCAGGATCAGCCATTTAACAGCCCCGCAGAGGACTTGGGAGTCGATGGCAATGAGGTTGACGGCCAGAGAGAAGACCTTGACCACGTAGGCGGTCAGCCTGGGGGTTGGCACAGAGCGTGAGCCAATCGGCTCTGAGATACAAAGACTGCCATGCCAACCAGCCAATGAGCAGGGGGGAGGGACCAGGGCCTGGCCCAGTTTGCCCGGTTTGCTTTCCCAGGTTCCAGGACCCAGCTGTTGCACGCTGTCCGTGCTTAAGGATATCTGCTTAATGATCACCGGCCACTCAGCCAGCGAATGCCTGGACTCTGCGGGCGGAAGCGTCTAGGGCTGTTTGAGCAAGGCTGGCCTAGGGGACTACCCCTGGCCGGGGTCTGGGTCCTGCTGGGGTGTGAGATTAGGGGGTATGCATGGCCTAAGCTGGCTGAGCTGGCTGTTGGGACTCACCAGGTGCTGGGTGGCCGGTCCAGGAAGGCCGCATAGGCAGAGCTGGGTTGTTTGAAGGCCAGCTGCTGTGTGTACCCTGCATGGAAGAGAGAGTGACCCCAAAACAGCGGGGCTGAGCAGAGGGGGCACACCAGGAAGGCAGGGGTGGCGTGCAGAGAGGAGACAGGGGCTCAGGGTCGGGAGGGATTCTGGGAGGAGGGCAGCTTAAAGAGGGAAGGACTCGAAGAGGTTGGGGGATCAGAGCGAGGATGGGGAGGAGTTCGCAGAGGACTGGGATTCAGAGAAGGGAGGGATCTTGAGGGTGGGGGGCTTTCAGGGAGGGAAGGGAACTCAGAGAAGGGGTAGAGTCTCAGAGAAGAGGCATGGCCTAGAGAGGAGGTGGGGCCTCAGATAAGAGTGGCTGGGAGAAGAGGTGGGGTCTCACAGGAGGGTGTGGCCTTGAGAAGAGGAGGGGCCTCAGCAAATAAGCGTTGCCCTAAGAGGCGGGGTCTCATGAGTCGGCCCTGGGAGGAGGCAGGGCCTCAGACGGCATGGCCTTGAGAAAAGGTGGGCCTCGGGAGGTGGGTGTGGCCTTGAGAAAAGGCAGGGTCTCACGAGCTTGGCCTGGGAGGAGGCACGGCCTTAAAGGGCGTGGCCTTGAGAAGACGTAGGCCTCAGGGGATGGGCGTGGCCTTGAAAGAGGAGAGGTCTAAAGAAGCATAGCCCGGGAGGAGGCCGGGCCTCAGAGGGCGTGGCCTTGAAAAGAGGTGGGGCCTCAAATGAGGGGAATGGCTAGGAGAGGAGGCGGGGCCTCAGGGGAGGGCGTGGTCTTGAGACAAAGTGTGGTCTTAGGGGAGGGGGGCGCTTGGAAAGGGGTCCCTGGGGTCTCCAAGGGGGTCAGGGCGCCCACCCTTCTTGATGAGCTCCACGGCCCCCTGCCGCTTCTCCAGGCCGAGCTTCTCCCATTGCTCCGTTTGATCCAGGTAATGCACCGCGATGACCGTGGGTGTCATGCCAATCATGTTCTGTTCCCCGCAGCCCGAGGGGGTCACGATGAGGTGCTTCAACCGGTCCCCGTCGATGGCATCCTCTGTCATCTGGGCCACCGGGTTCCCTGCAGCAGGTGAGGAGAGGACGTCACTCAAGCCGGGTGACCCACCTTGGGGTGGGGTGAAAAGGGTTCCAGCCTCCTATCCAGCCAGGGCCAAGGAGTTGGGGACAGGCGAGGGCTGGGAAAATGTGACTGCCGGGAGGGGAGGATGCATGGCTGAGTGGCTGTTGGGGGTCTGCACTGTAGGGAGGGGGACGTGCTTCATAAGGGTACCCTGGTCCCTGGGTCTCGTTTCACCAGCAGTAAAATAATTCCAGTAACGATATTCAGGAATACTCATACTGTGCTTAAGGTTACTTCCCATACTGTTCTAAGAGAACATCATAGAGTATCTCATTTAATCGTCACACCAGGCCAGGTGCGGTGGCTCACACCTGTAATCCCAGCACTTTCGGAGGCTGAGGTGGGTGGATCACCTGAGGTTAGGAGTTCGAGACCAGCCTGACCAATATGGTGGAATGCATCTCTACTAAAAATACAAAAGTTAGCCAGGCGTGGTGGCTGGTGCCTGTAGTCCCAGCTACTCAGGAGGCTGAGACATGAGAATGGCTTGAATCTGGGAGGCAGAAGTTGCAGTGAGCTGAGATCAAACCACTGTACTCCAGCCTGGGCGACAGAGCAAGACTCCGTTTCAAAAAAAAAAAAAAAAAAAAAAAAAAAAGTCACACCAACCCTTGGAGGTGGATACTATTATTCTTCCACTATCAAAGATGAAAAAAACAAGGCTTGTCCCAGAGCCTTATATCTTGCTCCAGCCTACCCTACTGGGGCAAGAAGTGAGCTCCAGAATTTCTGGTCTTGTGCTATATTGCTTGGCTTTTTGTTTTTTGTTTTGTTTTGTTTTGTTTTTGTTTTTGAGAAGGAGTCTCGCTCTGTTGCCCAGGCTGGAGGCTGGAGTGCAGTGTTGTGATCTCGGCTCACTGCAGCCTCCACCTCCCAGGTTCAAGTGATTCTCCTGCCTCAGCCTCCTGAGTAGCGGGGATTACAGGCATATGCCATCACGCCCAGCTAATTTTTGTACTTTTAGTAGAGACAGGGTTTCACCATGCTGGCCAGGGTGACCTCAAACTCCTGACCTTAGGTATCTGCCTTTCTTGGCCTCCCAAAGTGCTGGGATTACAGGCTATTGCTTCTCATTTAAGCTGAATTCCCATCTAAGAAGCACGGAAGTTCTAGAAGAAATTAACCTGATGTATCAGCAAAAGCTCTTTGCTGAACTAAATACTATCTGGAGGCTTCTATAAAACTGATCATAGCAAAGAATGTCTGTAGGGTTGAAAAAAAATTTTAAAGCCCGGCACAGTGGCTCACACCTGTAATCCCAGCACTCTGGGAGGCCAAGGCGGGCAGATCACTTGAGGTCAGGACTTAAGAGACCAGCCTGGTCTACATGGTGAAACCCCAACTCTACTAAAAATACAAAAAATTAGCTGGGGGTGCCGGTGTGTGCCTGTAATCCCAGCTACTAGGGAGGCTGAGGCAGGAGACCCGCTTGAACCCAGGAGGCAGAGGTCACGGTGAGCCGAGATGGCGCCATTGCACTCCAGCCTGGGTGACAGGGCTCCGTATAAAATAATAAAAAAAAATATAAAGAGAGAAATCGGATCACGGAGGAGCTGTCCTAGCTGAAGGGGAAGAGAAAGGTGCGGGTTAAGCACCTCCAGAATGAGACGGAATTCGGCTCCCTCCATGCCTTCCTGGACCCCATGGGGTCGGGGCCAAAGGCATCTCACCTTGCAGGAGAATTCTGGTCTCAGACTCTGTGTCCGGGACTTGGTCGCTGAGATCTGCAGGTGGGACGTCCTCTTTCTGTACTCCTTCTGCTGCGTGAGTGAGACACACCGATGGCGCTAGTTCCCTCCCACCCTACCCTACCTCAACAAACCCAGGTCATTTCCCCGCCGAACCCCGCCAGCCCCGCAGCCCCTACCCCTGCAGCCGACTCACCATTGCCCAGGTGTTCTGGATCCAGCGTGCGAACAGCCACAGTTTTGTTCATCCTGATTCCTTCCGGCTACTCGGTGTTGGAGGTAGGAGGGGGTCGTTGGATGGATAAAAGGACAGACAGACACACAGACGGTCAGCAGGGCACTGTCCTTAGAATTACCCTAGCATAGGTGTCAAAGCTTCTGAACCCGGCCCCTTCCTGCAGCTGTGTGATTAGGTGGCAGTTACTTAACCTCTCTGTGCCTCAGCTTCCCTCCTTATAAGAAGCCAATACAGACATCTGCCTATTGTGTTGTGGTGTGAATTTATCAGAAAACTATAAATTAATAATGAAATAATATAACCTTTTGAATTCTTTGTTTTTGAGACAGGGTCTCAATACAATAAAATACAAAAATTAGCTGGGCGTGGTGGTGAATGTCAGTAATCCCAGCTACTCCGAAGGCTGAGGCATGAAAATCGATTGAACCCTGGAGAGGGAGGTTGCAGTGAGCTGAGATTATGCCACTGCACTATAGCCTGGGTGACAGAGTGAGACTCTGTCTCAAAAATATAAATAACTAAAATAAAATTTTAAAATTGAGTATAAAAAATATTATTGGGGTCGGGCACAGCGGCTCATGCCTGTAACGCCAACACTTTGGGAGGCTGAGGCCGATGGATCACCTGAGATCAGGAGTTCGAGACCAGCCTGACCACCATGGTGAAAACCCATCTCTACTAAATACAAAAAAGTTTGGGCGTGGTGATGGGCGCCTACAATCCCAGCTACTCGGGAGGCTGAGGCAGGAGAATCGCTTGAATCCAGGAGGCAGAGGTTGCAGTGAGAGGACAACGTGCCATTGCACTCCAGCCTGGGAGACAGGGTGAGACTCCATCTCAAAAAACAAAAAACAAAAAACAAAATTAAAAAAAAAAAAACAAATTATTGATTGGTGATGGTTGATGAGCTTCTCGGCACCCCCTAAAATTCTGTGTCTGGGGTTATCTCACTCACTTTACCCCAATCCTGACTCCGCTTCTGAAATTCTGGGACTTCCAAATTTCCTAAGCCAGACACTATGATTCTCAGTGTCTCAGAGCCTGGATCTCCAACCTGAGTCAATAGTATGAAGACCAGGAGCCCTCTCTGAAGGACAAGGGTTTGTGGGTTCCCAGAGCACTCACCACGACCTTCAGGGACTTCTTGACACCGTCACTGATGAAAAAATGGTAGACGGCAGCCTTGACTTCTACTTCCTGCAGGCCAGTCTTTAGGGGCACGATGACATAGGGAATGGACACCGAGGACTTGTGGGGGACGGTGACAGTCTGCTGGTGACGCCTCTTGGCAGTGGCCAGGCTGCAGAAGGCTGGGTTGTGGAGCAGCTCCACCCTCACCTGCCAGGGAGAGAAAGTATCAGGGCAAGCGTGTGTGCAACAGGCTGCTTACCGGCTTGCAGCCTCCATGAAGCGTCTGCCACCCTGGGACCCACCTTGAGATCTTCCTTCTCCCGGTAATTGTAGAGAACGGCTCGGATTTCCACCTGCTCGTTTCGAACGACAGAGTAGGGTAGCCGCAGGTCGATGAAGAAGTCCTGCATGACCGTCACCTCGAAGGGGTCTGCCACACAGATCCCTGCCGGGCAGAGACAGAACATGGAGCGTTGGAAACAGATGGAAATAGAGGCTCGGTACCACAAAGAAAAATCAGCACCGAGACAAAGGATCTTCGAGCCACGCAATTTTTACTTCCTGGGCTGCAGGAAGGGTACTCTCAATAGCCATTTTCCAATGAGAGTACAACGAATAAAGGAACACACACAAATTGATCCCTCGCGCATTTGGGGTCGTCCTTACTGCTGTGTCTGACCCCCATTGGCTGGAGCCAGACCTCACAATCTAAACTAAAAACCTGATTGGCTAACAACTTAAAACTTTTCTACACAGGTAAAAGCAATGGAGAGCTGGGCCATGCCTGTGAGCACGTCCAGCACAGACATCTTGGTTAAAGTACAAGGACACAGAATGTACTACATGCCTGTAAGCATGTCTAACAGCTGTATAGGATAGGACTTAACAAAGAACTACTAGAACACTTACTTTTTTTAAGAAGAGAGGAAAAATTCCTTTTAAAATTTAATTTTAAAAGGAACTTTGCTACTTCCCACAGGGAGGGTCAAGGTCGGGGAGGGTGGACAGAGTGGACAAGCTCAGGCTCCTGGGTCTCAGCTCTTATGACTCACTGCGGGAGCTCTCCCTAACTCAGCCTATCTTTGCGGAAACCCGTGAACTAAACGCTGTCAGTGATGATAAGTGACAGATGATAGGGGTGGCTGGGGTTACCATCATTTAATGTTTTCCATTCTGTTTGTAGTTTGACTCAGATATCTATGTGTAGGGAGGAAGGGACATCTCCAAAATATATCTGCAACTCTGAAATGGTAGCCCCAAGCTGTGAGTGAGTGCTGAGCACTCAAAATGGGGTTAGCTCGAGTGAGAAGCTGGATCTGTATTTTTATTTGTTGTACTTGTATTTAAATGTATTTAATTTAATTCAGACTTATTTTTTTTTTTTTTTTTTAGATGGAGTCTCACTCTGTCACCCAGGCCGGAGTGCAATGGCACAGTCTTGGCTCACTGCAAACTCTGCCTCCCAGGTTCAAGCGATTCTTTTGCCTTAGACTCCCGAATAGCTGGGATTACAGGTGTCCACCACCATACCCGGCTAATTTTTGCATTTTAGTAGAGACGGGGTTTCACCATGTTGGCCAAGCTGGTCTCGATCTCCTGACCTTGTGATCCTCCCACCTTGGCCTCCCAAAGTGCTGGGATTACAGGTGTGAGCCACCTTGCCTGGCCATTCAGACTTAAACTTTAAACCTGATCATCTAGCTAGGCCAAGTGGCTCACTACGGTAATCACAGCACTTTGGGAAGCTGAGGCGGGAAGATTGCTTGAGCAATCAAGGCTGCAGTGAGCTATGATCGCACCACTGCACTTCAGCCTGGGCAACGGAGTGAGATCCTGTCTCTACAACCAAACCCAACAAAACAAAACAAACAACTGATGCTCATTGTAAATACATGAAACACCATTGAATTGTACCTTTTATTATTATTTTATTTTTTTATTTATTTTGAGATGGAGTCTTGCTCTGTCACCCAGGCTAAAGTGCAATGGCATGATCTCAGCTCATTAGTCACCTCTGTATCCTGGGTTCAAGGCATTCTCCTGCCTCAGCTTCCTGAGTAGCTGGGATTGCAGGCATGCACCAGCATGCCTAGCTAATTTTTTGTATTTTTAGTAGACATGGGGTTTCACCATGTTGGCCAGGCTGGTCTCAAACTCCTGGCCTAAGGTGATCTGCCCGCCTCTGCATCCCAAAGTGCTGGGATTACAGGCGTGAGCCACCTCGCCCGGCCTGAACTGTACATTTTAAAAGGGCGATATATGGTAAGTGAATTAAATCTTAGTTTTTTAAAAATGATGCTTGATTGGGTGGAAAAGGTTTAAGTATGTTTGCAACAACTTGAGTATGAGATTCTACCCTTTCTTTCTCTCTCTATTTCTTTCTTTCTTTTCTTCCTTCCTTCCTTCTTCTTCTTCTTCTTTTTTTTTTTTTTTTTTTTTTGAGACAGGGCTTTGCCATTTTGCCTAGGCTGGTCTTGAACTCCTGACCTCAAATGATTTGCCCGCCTCAGCCTCTCAAAGTGATGGGATTACAGGCATGAGCCACTGTACCCGGCCTGAGAATCTACCTTTTAAGCTGTATATTTCAAGAAATCTAAAATACAGATCAAACTATTTCCAGTGAAAACCTAGCATCCTGGGCTGGGCATGGTGGCTCACTCCTATAATACCAGCACTTTGAGAGGGTGAGGAAGGCAGATCGCTTGAGGCCAGGAGTTTGAGACCAGCCTGGCCACCATGGCGAAACCCCATCTCTACTAAAAAAAGAAAACCTAGTATCCTGTTTACGCCACTGCACTCCAGCCTAGGTGACAGAGCGAGACCCTGTCTCAAAAAAAAAAAAAAGAAAAAGAAATCTAGCATCCTAAATGAGAAGTACTGAATTGTAAAATACATGCGAGATTTTGAAGACTTAGTGCAAATAAGATATATCATCAGTAATTTTGATATACTCGTAGATTATTATCAAATATGAAAGTATAGTCACATTATTATTAGAGCGATGTGCTTTTGCAACGTTTTACTAAATGTTGAAATGATACTATTTTGGGTATATTTGGATTAAATAGAATGTTTTGCAATAAGTTATAATGTGGTATAATTATAAATATGTAACCAATAATAAATGATGTAATTTATATCATATATCTAATAAAATATACATTATATATTAATGTGTTAATAAATGATATATTAGTAGCAAAATATACATTATAACAAAATTACATTGTAATACATTATGGTTTATTATAGTTTATTAAATTATATTGTAATCAAATTTATTATAAATATACATTATATATGTTATATGTAATGTAATATATATAACATATATTATATATTACATTATAATTAACGATTATAAACATATTATAATAAATATGTATAAATTATACTTAAATTTATTATAAATTACAGTTTGGGTATAAATAGAATATTTACACTTAATGTTGTGAATTTTCTTTTTGGCAGAAAAGTGATTTATTTAGGTCGAGAAAGAGAAAAAGGAGAAGAGAGAAAGCTTCCGCGAAGAGTGTGGAAGGGGACCCCAGAGGGGTCTGACCACCAATGTGTCAACCATGTGTTTCCTCCTCCTGCTTCCTCTTGTATCTTTTCTTTTTTTTTTTTTGTTTCTGTTTGTTTCTTGAGACAGAGTATTGCTCTGTCACCCAGGCTGGACTGCAGTGGCGCGATCTCAGCTCACTGCAACCTCCGCCTCCCAGGTTCAAGTGATCCTCCTGCCTCAGCCTGCCAAGTAGCTGGGATTACAGGCACCTGCCAACACGTCCAGCTTACTTTTGTCTTTTTACTAGAGATGGGGTTTCACCATGTTGGTCAGGCTGGTCTCAAACTCTGACATGGCAGGTGGATTCCTGTCCTTATCCATTGGTCCAAACCCACAGAATGTACAACAGTCTCGGGTGAAACTTGGAACTTAGGGTGAAAGTCATGTGTCCCTGGAGGTTTCCTGACTGCAACCAAGGCATTGCTCAACCGGGGGTGCTGGCAGAGGGGGAGGCTATCAATGTGTGGGGACTGGGGGTATGTGGGAACCTTCTGTACTCTCCCCTTAATTATTCTATGACCTGAAAAAACTCTAAACAAATAAAGCACATTTAAAGAAAATCACTGCTGTGGCTCATGCCTGTAATCCCAACACTTTGGGAGGCCGAGGCAGGCAGATCACTTGAGATCAGGAGTTCAAGACCAGTCTGGCCAACATGGTGAAACCTCATCTCTACTAAAAATAGAAAAATTAGCTGGGTGTGGTGGCGGGTGACTGTAATTCCAGCTACTGGGGAGGCTGAGGCAGGAGCATCACTTGAACCCAGGAGGCGGAGGTTGCAGTGAGCTGAGATTGTGCCATTGTACTCCAGCCTGGGTGACAGAGCGAGACTGTCTTAAAAGAAAAGGAAGGAAGGAAGAAAGAAAGAGGGAAAGAAAGGAAGAAGAAAGAAAGAAAGGGAGGGAAAGAAACAGAGAGAGAGAAAGAAAAATAAAGAAAGAAGGAAAGAGAAAAAGAAAAGAAAGAAAGGGAGGGAGGGAAAGAAAGAAAGAGAGAAAGAAAAAGAATGAAAGAAAGAAAAGAAAGAGGAAGACAGAAAGTAAAAGAAAAAAGGGAAAGAAAGAAAGGGAAGGAGGGAAAGAAAGAAAGAGAGAAAAGAAAGAGAAAGAAGGAAAGAAAGAAGAAAGAAAGAAGCACCAATTGAGCTCCCCCCACCCCAGGGGAGCTCCCTGGGAAAAGACGTCCCGGACATGCTGCCCACTGATAGCACTGCCCACTGTCAGTCAGCGAAAAGGACGACAGCTACATTGGCTACACGTGGCCCTGTGGTTGGGGTCCTCCAGCCCTGAAGGGAACTCATCAGGTGTTAAGCCAGAGATAACCCTGCCAGGGATTTTACCCGATGACGAGCATGTGCACTGCTCCAAAAACTCACCCTAGAGTTGTCTTTTGCTCATTATAACAGTAAAAAACACACTCCTGGGTGGAGATTTTAGACGCTAACGAGACATGCCACGTGCATGCTAGCACATATAGTCACAGAGCATGCACGCCCAAAGAGGCCTCCCGAAACATGCTTGCAAGTGACATCCCCTCATGCCCCTTCATGAAAAATCATGTAAGAGTCTCATAAAAACAGTCCACCAGCAGTATCTGCTGCTGGCTCATTCTCTTGGGAAGCTAGGTCTGTGTGTCATCTTTCAGAGCATACTTTTGCTATTTATTTATTTAGAGACCAGGTTTCGCTCTTGTCACCCAGGCTGGGGTTCAGTGGCATGATCTTGGCTCACTGCAACCTCCACCTCCCGGGTTCAAGTGATTCTCCTGCCTCAGCCTCTGGAGTAGCTGGGATTACATGCGCCTGCCACCTCACCCAGCTAATTGTTTTGTATTTTTAGTAGAGATGGGGTTTCACCATGTTGGCCAGGCTGGTCTTGAACTCCTGACCTGAAGTGATCCACCCACCTTGGCCTCCCAAATTGATAGGATTACAGACGTGAGCCACTCAGCCCGGCCCTGTCTCTTTAAATAAGCACTGCTACTACAATTTTTCCAGCGGAACCAGCCCGAGCTGTTCCTTCCTTCCATCAACTCTGCCACTTAACCCTGCTCTGTGTCTCTTGGCTGAATTCTGTCTTCCAAGTTAGACAAGAACTGAGGATTCCCGCAGTTCCTGGTAACAACACCTCTGTGGGAACCAGGGCAGAGAATCAAGTGCCAAGAAACAGAGGGTTGGTTGAGTTTGAACAAAATGAGATGACACTCAGATACCCTGGGGTCCCTGCCTCCCTGGGACTAGCCGCCATCCTCTCTCACCTTTCTTGTCCGACAAGCTCACGGCCAGAATCTCCCAAGTGGTGATGGAGTCTTTCAAAAATATATTCATGAGCTTCGTTGAGATTCTGGATGGAGAAGAGGTTGGGGCATCAGGAGGTGACATCTAGCAGGGTGATAGAAGGGGCGAGCTGGTGCAGAGGGACCCTGAGGGACAGGCTGGAAGGGTCTGGGGGTGCCTCCACGTGGGTAACCCAACTCCTGACTTTTCTAGTTTGGGCTGTGGGGTTGCACCGTGATTCCAGAGAAAACAAGAGATGGCAGGTGCATGCCAATTAAACGGTCTGGTCCTGGGGGGGGCGCGCATCGCGGCTACCCTGGCCTTACCCATTTTTCGGTGGCTCTTTCAAGTCTTCAATCTTCCACAGCCAGCTCTCTGGGAACTCGCTTCGGGAAACAATGTGCTCTTCCGGGATGATGTCCTCATCCAGGTCACCTGCAGGGGGTTTGGATCTGCATTTAGAACAGATCAGGCCAGCCAGACTGTGGCTCATGCCTGAAATCCCAGCACTTTGGGAGGCCGAAGTGGGCAGATCACCTGAGGTCAGGAGTTTGAGACCAGCCTGGCCAACATGGTGCAACTCCATCTCTACTAAAAATACAAAAATCTGGCCAGGTGAGGTGGCTCACACCTGTAATCCCAGCACTTTCGGAGGCCAAGGCGGGCGGATCACCTGAGGCTGGGAGTTCGACGCCAGCCTGGCCAACATGGAGAAACCCTGTCTCTACTAAAAATACAAAAATTAGCCGGGTGTGGTGGCACATGCCTGTAATCCCAGGTACTCGGGAGGCTGAGGCAGGAGAATCACTTGAACCTGGGAGGCTGAGGTTGCAGTGAGCTGAGATTGTGCCACCGCACTCCAGTCTGTGTGACAGATCGACACTCCATCTCAAAAAAACAAAACAAAAATCCCAGCTACTCAGGAGCCTGAGGCAGAAGAATCGCTTGAACCCCGGAGGCAGAGGTTGCAGCGAGCCGAGGTTGCACTCCAGCCTGCGT